CACACACACACACACACACACACACACACACACACACACACACACACACACACAGGGCCTCGTTACTGTAGTAGTTTTTTTTGCATTACAAAACTTTTTCAACGCTCACAAAGACAATTAACGCTGCCAATTAACATTCCACTTGAGACATGCTATCGATGCCTTCACAATCTTACCAATGAATTCGTCAGCCTTTCAGATATCCTCAACGCCGGCCTATCGCTTTTAATCGTGCTGATAAAGCCCTTCTTGCAAACGTAAGTCTCACATCACTATAATATTACTGTTATGTTTTCAGTTCAGTTATGCAAACTGATCCTGTTCTGTTCCTTCGATGAAGCAGTTTCACCAATAGTGCGATTTTCCTTTCTGTAACAGACGTGCCCCTCACTACCGGAAGGTTTAGGTCTCAAGGGGGATTACTGAAGAACATTCGAATGAATGAAAAGCCATGTGTGATGAAGGAAGTTTGCGACAACATTGTGCTATTCGAGAACGCAACATCCTATAATGTACTAGAAACAAGGGATGAGATCGTAAAGTCAATATTCCGTTTCTCCATATTGAAGACACAGTATAGAACCAAGACCGTGTTGCAAACTGAAAAATCAAGCGCGTGAAGAGTCCAACTGAAAACAATTTTCGGGTTCTCTGAACCACCATTAACTTCATGAGTGATGTTAGGATCCGATTGTACTGAGAGTGGGGTTGTCAAGTTATACCAAGTATTTCCATCTCATTCGTCGTGCTCGCGCGGAGCGTCGGGCATCGCAATCGAAAATTTCCTTGCAATCGATGTGGAAGGAGCTCCGAAACACCATCTCATCCAGGCAGAGGAAGAATGAGCTCATTTCTCTCTTGCCATGAGCTCTTCGCCTAGCGGGCTGTGGCCTTACATCCGCTGGGTAGGTTGTGCGGTTTTCTGCGTGGATTTTCATTTGACATCTACCTATTATCCTGAGCCATGATGAAATTGGTTGATGTCGATGGTCGCTTCTGTCACACATTGAGTCGTACTCGACGCTCCTCTTCAGTCATGGAGTGTGGGATATTTGCAAAAAGTCCTGCTTTGAAAGCGACTTCGCGTGGAATGTTGTGAAAGATTGACTGAGGATAGAGCTTGTCTCTTCCATTTCCTGAGACTTTGAGGAGACTTGCTGAGACGTGAGATCAGAGCAGTGTCGGTATTTGAGGATAGTAGACGCTCGCTTCGGCAAGTAGACGCTCGCTTCGACAACTAAACGTTCGCTTCGGCAAACTCCAATGAAGCAAATCTCTTCTCAGAAGAAGCGATTTATTTTAGGTGACGAGAGTGTCTCTTGGTGGTTGACAAGAGCCCATATCTCATTCTAAGCCTGAGTGTCGAGACCATCAGTTTCGTGATGGTGACGCAAAACACTCCGGTAGTGTATTGATGACACATAAATTCAGTCGGCAATAACTTACTTCGAATGACCACCTCAAATACCGACCAGCTATAGTATTGATCTAATATCAACAATGCAGTTTTCCCTGCTATCGAATCTGTACCATTTTTAGCGTGCTTGCGAGCAACATACTTTCAAACTTGAGGGGAAAATTTTGTTAAAACTTTCTGGACACCCTAATAATTACATGTAAGTGCTCTTTCCTTTGTTGCGTAGCTTGAGGCGAGACCTGTTGGTTTGACCATCTCTCATATCCTTATCAATCCAAAAAAAATTAATGCACGACGACAATGGTATTCCTCGATTCCCTCTAACAGTGCTATTCTACGAACCTCACGCCTCGAGGGAGACTTTGTTTTGAATCCATTTTTACCATCGGCATATCTGCCAACGATTGTATAGGACAGAAAAGACAGATGTCAACTGTTGGGCAAATTGTCCAACTCACCAATAAATTTCCATCTCACGGTTCCCAGTTAGGGTCAATCGTCCCCAGTACAGTTGCAATTTTTCACAAGCTCGCAAAACTCGACGATGGTCGCATGAGTAGCAGCGACCGTTTAGGGCTTAGCAGAGCTCTTGTAGGAGACGCTAAGTCTGAAAATAGAACCAAAAGTCAGTTTTCATCAAGGGATCATTATAACAATTATTAGGGTGTCCCAAAAGTTTTGAGAAATTTTTTTTNTTTTTTTTGGTTTATTCAGCACAAAAATACTACAACAAAAAGGTGAGAATCGAGATAGTGGCCCTCTTTAGCCACGACGTCCCTCCATCGACTGGGCAGAGCACTGATGCCGTTCATCCAGAAAGAAGAGGAGCGCGACGCGTTCATTCATCAACTGCACTTTTGACCTCCTGACGATTATGAAGTTTTTTTCCGTGTGAGGAAAGCTTGTAGACTCCTGGAGGCGTGGTGGTCGCAAGGGCGAAGGTCAGGTGAATACAGGAGGATGGGGCAGCCAGGTAACTCCAAGCCTTTCCAGCTCCCCAACCGTCGCCCTAGCATGATGTGGTCGAGCGTTGTCCATCTAAATCAGAAACTTTCCATTCGGTGTGAAACCGGGGCTCGAGACACCATCTCCCGCAGCTGCTCGCAGAATACCCTTGCAGTCACAGCAGTACCCTCAGGAAGGAGCTCATAGTAAAAACAGCCGGCGGAGCAGAAGAAGACCGAGTTCATTTCCTTTTTGACGTGTTCCCCACGCTTTGCAACGGCTTCGGGCCTTATGTCGATTGATAGCCACTGCAACTGCCTGTGTGGATTTTCATAAGAAATCCACTTCTCATCCTGGGCGATGATGAAGCTCGTCCAAGCCACCGTTCGCTTGCGGTCGAGTAGCTTCCAACACACATCGACCCGCACCTGACGCTCGCTCTCAGTCAAGGTGTGGGGGATAACTGCAGTAAGTGCTGCGCGAAAGCGACGTCTGCGTCGGATGTCGTGGATGGTGGAACGGGGAGCAGGAGTGGTCCTCTCCATTCCTCTCAAGCTTTGAGAAGGATCGCTTTGGACGTAGACTAAGACAATGTCGGTGTTGGTGGAACGTGGACGTCCGCTCCGTGGCGCTTCGTCGAAGTAAATCTCTCCTCTAGGGAAGCGACCGTACCACCTAAACCAGGTGGCGATAGAAAGTGCAGTACTACCCATCGATGACTGCAATTTATTCCGGGCTTGAGTGGCGGAGTGACCATATCGGAAGTAATGAAGCAGGCGCCGGTAGTCGTGTCGGTCGGACATAATTCAAAGGATGATAACTCACTTCCAAAGATAAAGTGCAATACTGTTCTATTGTTTTGACGATCTACCATACCAGGAATGCCCTTTTCCTGTCCTTTATTCCGTGGCTCTGCTTCGGCGCTTTGTTGCGCAATATGGTTGCGAAATTCATGACCAAAATTTTCTAAAAACTTTTGGACACCCTAATAATAACATTTGTTGTGAGTAATCTAGCAGAATATACTGCAGCTAAGTAACTTGTTTTGTTACGAATGGTGTGGTCAGTCAAACAGGTTAAGCTCGAAGCTGTAGAGCTACGGAATAGAGAAAATGCGTATATTTGTTCGCTACAGAATTTGTGAAGCTGAAGTATAAATTAGATTGCTGATTTCACCGCCACATTCTCAGCTTGAACGGACTACAACAGTCTTGAAAATGTGAAATCAAATTCAACTTCGTTCTAAATTTTAAAGCATGATCTTGAAGAGCTCATTGAACAAAGTTGGACGGTATACCCCATTCTTAAAGACAGCTTCAAATTGAATAGTACTATGGAGAACATAAAAGATTTGAATTGGTTTTTTAGCGTGAGTTGAAGATTTATTATGACTGATGGTAAGCGTTGATTTTTCGTCTCTATATGTTCTCGTGAAAGTCACGCATGGGAAGTTTCAGATCAAACAAGCTGTACATGACAACATAAATCCCTTTTTGGGTATTGCTTTCAATGAGAAAGAAGAACTACTGGTGGTTTGGAAGTTCTGCTCGAGGTGAGGAAGAAACTCTACAGTTAATTCTCTTCTATAAATAGGATGTGATGACTGCAAGGAAAACTAGTGGACCTATTCATGTCAGCTAGATAGAAGCGATAAGATTTGGAGAGCTTAGTCCCGTTGAAAGAGTTCCGGTCGAAAAGAAATCAAGAACAATTAATGTCTCTCGAAATTACTTACTGAAGTTGAATAACGGCCTTCAGCAGACCGAATTTCAAGTTTTGTTCCTATTCGGAAGCTCGATATTTGTCTCTAACTTCTCTCTTCTCTGACCTCAGTATATCTGTATGCGATAAAGATACCGTCGTGCCCTACGAGGTTTTTAGCTGGAACAATTTAGCATGCCAATCGCGTTGACATTTGATGCGATTGTCGTCTTCAAAGATATAAACGCAGCTCGAGTTGATTTGCACGTCATCCAACTAACGCCTTAACCCCTCTTGCTTACGTTACGACTAATCCGAGCCAAGCCTCACTAAGGTTTCACTGCTCGATCGGAAAAATCCGCTCTCGCCACAGGCGACTGTCAGCAGCAGATGAGACTTTCTGTTGTATCCCTTGCACTTATGATGACGGAGATCACGTCGTAGTGCTACTGAGTAGTGCATTATAATACATATATGGCGAGATAGGTAGTTATTTACCGATGCTCACTTCTTTCACCTCCGTTAAGTTCAGAATTACTATTATGAATCCAGGGCTTCTTTAATGCTTTTTCTGCCAAAATATCCCTCTCCTTCGAAAACATCGTTTCTTTTATGTTGAATTGATGCTATTATGTTTCCCAGCTTTATGCCCTGAGCGCCGTCATCAAGCTGCCACGCCTTACACCAGCTTAATGTTCCTTAACTCGAACTACTAGTTGACTTCGCGTTTCCCCTATATGAGTTGATTCATAGTCCGGATTCTATCTGGTAGATTAAGCATATCAGCACGCAACCACCTCTTATTCCGTAGGGACATATGGTACAACTATTTGTTATGTACTGCTTACGGCCGAGTTTCGGAAGTGTTCGGAGATCGCGACAGTGTTTCGTTGGGGCAGAGTCCATGTCTCCTAATGACGGTGTGGGAAACTGAAGTTGAGCTCATTCAATTTAGGTCTTCTGACCAACCTTCCATAAATGCCTGCAGATTTAGTGACACTTAACCATAAGTAGTTGAGTGTGGATACAGTACTGCAATGAGGCGCGCGAGATATTAGCAAATCACGATCTGCTCTCTGAACAGTATAGATCTTTGAATCTCTGAAAACTCGCAGAAAGCTCAATTTAGCACGTCCAATGCAATAGAGAGTTGAGTGACGTTAAGGACCGTAACCGGTGGTAAGCGACCCGCGCTCTGGGCTCTAGAGCTCTTGTGGGAATGATTCGTGGCAGAATGTGTTGCGTGGTTCCTATGACTGTTGTCGCACTTTGCAACTTTGATGTTGCCCCAGATCCGATTGGATCTCAATTCCGTCTCGACTCACCCTCAGTCCTCCTCCAAGTCTGATTACGTCGAAGACATTGGCAGGCTTGTTCGTATAAATGACATATGGAAGAATATTTCAAGAATGACATTTCAATATGGAAGAATGACACACTTCTTCTCTTTGATCATAATGCTCAGAACCTAGCAATGAATGGATGTTATCATCCCGTGATCTTCAAAGAGATTGCGCATTTCTTATCTTCTTTATGGAAATGAGAAGTGAGAACACGCCGGTCATTCTGCATCATTGGAATAAGTTTAACATTGCTGACCACCACCTTCTGCCGAAGCGAAACTGTTTTGCTTTCGATAGAGAGAAGATATGGCACTGCTCATCAGATAATCTCCGATTTCTCTATTGCTTGAACCCCCTTAACGTTAATGATGGGATAACAAGAATTGAAGTGCTGGTTTGAAACAAAATTATTCAATGTACTGCAGGTATATTGATAACTGTTTCATCGTAACGTCAACACAGTTCGAAGCACCGTATATTGTGTTCTTCCTTATTGAATTTNGAGTCAAATTAACGAGCTTGTCAGCGTCTTCTCCGTGATCAGGCAGGATTGATGGTGAGCCCAGTGAGATCGACGAATCTCTGCATCCTCATCGAAATCTGAATCGAATCATCGAATCGAATCTGCTGCAGAACCAGCTTTAGTTGCAAAGTACGGCAATCTGTGGAACTCCTCCCATGGGAAAGCCACAACCATGAAACCTGTTTCACAACAGGTCATTCTCACAAAAGCAACACAGCTTTCAGCGAAGCTGATTTGGCACGAGTTAGGTTCTTAGCGACACTCGTCTCTCCTCTAATGCATGTTCAGCAAAGTTCTTCTTTTTTATATCCTCGTCAAAATCAAGCGCGCTGAAAAAAAGTCAAAAGTTGGCTACCAGAGCGAGCTCGAATACTAAATACATCAAAAGGGACAGTGACATTAGGTCAGGGAGAGACTGTCTCTTTCTCCGAATAGTTGGTCACAATCTCGTCTCACAGGCCCTTTGATTCAGCGTAACTATGTAGCGATGGTTATGTGTATGTACGAGTTATATGTAATGATTTCTCCGATAATCGCTCCATAGTTGCAAATTTTTCTTTTTCAGAGGGTCCCTACAAGATGTCATCTATAACGAGAATATAGCACTGGATCAGAAGTTCCACGGCGCATTCATTCGTGACATACTCGCAGGATTGGAGTATCTTCATTCATCCAACATTGGCTTTCATGGTTCACTTACAACGTGGGCATGCCTTATAGACAGAAATTGGATGATTAAACTGACAGATTATGGTATGAACTGTTTTGTACTGCAATAAAGGTAAGTTGTAAAAAGTGTTCTACAGGTGTCGCGGATGCCTTGGAGCGCTGGGAGAAACAACAAGCGATTTCTGTGATTGATATCGAAAGCGCTGAGGATAAATCTCAAGCGAAGCAATCAACGAGTACGTTAAATAAATTAAGAAAATGAACATCAGAAATTCAGTTTTCAAGAAGTTCTAGCAGATCTGTGAACCTCAATCTACTCTTGAGCACACTATCACACAGTCTCTTGTTTTTCAGGAGGGAGCGCTTCGACCACCTTGTACCGCGGGCAAATAGAGTCTTTTGAATTTTATGTTTGCTATTTTGTTGTGAGCTTTGGACAGTGTAGAGAACGTGAAAAGGTTTGCCATCGCACAAAGTCAGAATACCCAATTCGGCTCGGTTGAAGCTTCGCTCCCCTCGAGAACCACAAAAGATCAATTCGCTAAACACCAGCCAATAAAAATCTATTCACTGAAAAATAGAACACATTGTTGTTGACATTCCGAGTAGTTTCGACACTGATTTTTTTCGTTCAAGGTGTGCTGTATGAAGCGCCTGAGTTGTTGAAAAATCGTGAGAAGAATCGCTTACGGAGACAAGATCAAGACTGGATGAAGCAAAGCCTGGTTAGTAACGGATATTATGTAAACACAAACGTTGTGGCAAGAAATTGCCGCGTTGAAAGTCGGTGGAATATGGATGTCTGCTGTCTTGGCATCAACAGCATTCAACCGTGCAGCTGTATTTTCAAAAGAGCTCTTCTAATGCTCACCATTCATAATTTTCAAATTGAAGGCACATCTCCGTTACAAATTTTCATAGTTCAATTTTTTATGAATGTACTGGATTATTAGGTTTGGAGCTGAATATGCTGGTGCAGAATAGTTCGTCAGTGGCAAGGAAAACCTGTATTCCAGCAAAATTAGAGATGCGTTTTTGTGTAAATCTGAGAAGCGCAATAACAAGAAAGGACCATCACGATGTTGCGTAAGAAGCGAGAACCTTAAAAAACTTGGAAGTCAGTGCGACCATGTAACATAGTACCCCCTCGTACCATCACGCCACGACTACCAGGACGATCACAAGCAAAGAAGTTCCTGGGAGTGTTGCGTTATCGTACTTTTTGCTGTATGAGGGGCGTCCAGAACCACTGCTCAGACTGAATCTGCTCTCATCCAAAACGACCACACGGCTCCATTCCTCATCGGTCCATTCGCTATGCTCCTTGCCCATCGAAACGGATTTCTTCTCCAATTTAGTGATCCTTAATGCACTTGATCTTAGCCGACTGTCTGCTCTCCTTCGAGCAGCGGTAACAGAAGATCGGAACGATCTCTCAGCACACTAAACAACGCTGGGACAAACCGAGCTCCTAGGCTAGGCTCGACTAACGAAAACTTTTTCGTACCCTTCAGTTACGTCAGTTTGCGCAGGCATCCATATTTAGCGGCTTATTTAAAGGCACAGTTCACGATAACAATGGTTTCTGAGAAAAGCTCAAAGATTGGCCCGTTTATATCCTCGGACGAGATTCACCGGCATTGTAGAGGATGCACCAATCCCATGTAGAGAACTCAAGCAACTTGTCATGACCCATACCGACAGTAAAAGGCAGTTCTGTACAGTTCTGGCTTGCTGTAGTCAGCTCTTTGTACAATTGCAATAACTAAAGTCTCGTCCGAATACCCCTTGCATGTTATTCCCGTCTGGCAATCTCGCCCTACCTCTATTTCCCCTACTCTTTTCTCGAAATCGGCGAATTCTCTCACCTTCTTAACTACCGATGAACTAATCCCAATCTATACTTCCGCTTTTCGAATAAAACGGGTACATCAAAATTATCGTGATCTGTGCCTTTAAGTTCTTCTGACTCTGACTCAGAGGGGAGGTCAGCTTCCTATGCCTAAACGTATACGCTGATGTATACTTTCATTCATTACTAGCCAGTCGTTGAATATTCTATGGTACTTTGGCCATCTCGCTCCTATGCTTTGCACACCGGTGTATATGGTTCAATTAACTATTTTATCTCTAATATGTGCTGATGCGACGATCTTTCACGTCTCAGTATGGTCTCTTAAGAGGGGAGGATTCTAAAAGAAAGTGGCCGTTTGGAATGAGACCTATACTGGTAGACGTGTTTTGGATACTGATCTCAAAACTGCCCCCAAACTTGCCTAACGATTATCTCATTGAAGTTACGAGCTGATTGGTGAGACTACAATCAAACTATCCTTACTTTATATAAAGCGCTCGCGTCTGTCTGTCCGTCTGTCTGTTTGTTTGTACGGAAATTCATAACTCCTGTCCCCGTGGACCTAGGACGTTCAAATTTGGTAGGAGCACAGGCAGGATGGGAAAACATATGGTGAGTGGCAGAACCGGATTCCACCCACGGGGGAGGGCNTGTGCGAACAAAATGTTTTAGCGGAAAGTCATAACTCCCGTCCCAGACAACCCAGAAAGCTCAAATTTGGCAGGAGTACCCAAGGCAGGGTGGGAACACATATGGTGTGTGGGAGGACCGGACCCCGTTTATGGAAGGCGCGGTGTGCGCGAATCGGCTCTAGGGCGCTCAAACTTGGTAGGAAGACGACGGCAGTATGCGAACACTCATGTTGGGTGGTAGGACCGGACTCCGCCCACGGGAGGCAGGATTTGTGCGAAATAAATATCTGAGCGAAAATCCATGATTCCTGATCCCTTGGATGGAAACACTGGCGATAGATAAGAGAGAAAAGAGAACAATGTTACTAGTTCAATATAAGTGCCCCATTCCTTTCCCCCTGGCCACGACACCCGAATCGTCACCCTTACCACTACTCTAAGCCACTGCTCGCGGAACTTGTACACCTAAGTGGATTATATTCGCTTATGTTAAGCCTCCCCCAAAATCACCTTATGACTCACACTTCGACTTGGGATCTTTCTCTGATTAGTATTATAGTCTAACAACTGCACTGCGAACTGTGCCTTAAATGTGAATGGGACAAATGTAGGTTGTTATCCCACTTCAGCAGGAACTTCAAAGCTCAACTAAATGGAACGTACGAGAACCAGGAACAATGCCGTCGTGAAGATGTGCACAATAGAGACGGTTGGGGAGCTCGCATGAATTGAAAAGTTTGTAAAAGATCTTAAAAACTCTCGGTTCTATTCTTTATACGTATTAGAATCAAGAGTTTTGCCGATCCTTTACCCACTTTTCACTTCGTGCGATCTCTCGTAGTAAAATATGCATAGAGTAAATTTGTTATAGTCATGATTTTGCTGCTTCTCCAATTAAGTGTGCTCACTCACACCTGATGAAACTGCTCTTCAACCCTTTATGTCGCTTTGCCAATTTATCACGCAAAATGTTATTTTTTCGATTGACTCGACAAAAAATAAATAATACTCTGTTGTCCAAGCTTCAGCAGGCAGCATCTGTCTACTAGCATCCGTAGTGCACAAGTATGTTTGAAAAAATAAGAGCACATTACGAGAACGACGGTTCGGGGACGGTGCTGTGTAGTTTCATAAATGATACTTCCCGTGATACAGGCAACCATATTCCCCATACATGCACACAACAAGTGAAAACAACTCTAACGAGAAAACTGTTTTATTTAAGGCACGAAAACAACTTGGCGACATTTACGCGTTTGGTGTTATCATGTATGAGATTATTTTTCGAGCACTGCCATTCCCTGAAGGCACGGATTTACTGGGTTGGTTTTTCGATTGCTAACACTGCAAAAACTGAATTGTATGGAGCTAAACTTTCCTTTATTCATTATTCATCCTGATTTCTTTGTTGCGGATATTCCAATAAGATTAACTTTTCTAGCTCTTGTTGAATCCTTAAAAGACGGAAGCAAAGTCACCAAACCTCAAATTCAAACAAACAAGGTTGGTTGGTCTGATTGTTTCTTGAATGCCTACTTAATAAGGTCACGTCTCTAACGGACCAGTTCAGGTTTTGAATATGGATCTAACAAGTCTTATATTGGACTGTTGGAACACCAGTCCCGAAATGAGGCCTAGCATACGACGAATCAAACTGAACGTGGAGACTTACCTTAAAGTGTACGTTTATAATGGTTACTCATCAGCAAATCTGGGTGAACTTATTCAGCTGTTCCTGGCTGTGTTCGGCGAACTTTCATTAATGTTGTACAAAATAACTGCACCTTTTCCTATGTTTCACTCCCGAAGTAGTCTTAACTATTTCCCCGTGACCTGTAAACCTATGAGAAATATCGGACCTTACCGTCTCAGTTTTAACGTTGATCAGGTAGAATTTATGATGCTCATCTACTCGCAATTACAGACGCGGAAGTCTTGTGGATCAAATGATGCGAATGATGGAACAGGTATGCTTCATACAAAACTTAAAACTGCTTTATATGTATGTGTGTTGTGTATACAGCCAAAATTAGACTAAGTTAGCTCAAACTTGTCGTGCGGAAAGGTAGCGGTACCCTTCCCACCAACGAACCACCCCCTGCTCTGGGCATTGTCAATCCTGTACTGCAATCTATGTAGATTGGTGATCCATACACACAGACTTCTATTCCCACCCGGTTTGCGCAACCCTGTCCTGTGCACCTTGCAAGACTTTGAGAATCCGGAAGCTCCTGGCCGATAGGCAGCAATGACATTTAAGAAGTTCTTTATTACGTACGCCGGCTCCACTCACAATCCCATAGAGCTGGCGGGGGGGGGGGGGGGGGG